CCCCCCCCCCCCCCCGCCAAGGGTGCAGCTTGTTAAAACCTTAGGTCCAACCTCCGAGTCACTCTCGCTATGCTCCTGTGCTCGGGGCCCACGGCAAGTGGCACCTGCGGCTGGCATCTCTCACCCGGTGAGCTCTGGAAGTTTCTGAGGCAGCCCCTCTGGTTCTGCCCCGGCCTGTGCTGCATCAGGGGCCCGGCCGGTCCCTAATTCCCGCAGCACGACTGAGACCGGGCCATCACTGTCACGGTCTCAGGGCAGGGCTGCCAGAGGCGATACCAGTGTGGACACCGGTCCTGCGGGAGTCCGAGCCCTGCCTGTGCCCCTTTACTCTTTCCGAAGTCGGATGCTTAAGTGACTGAGCCACCCGGGCGCCCCTCAGGGTGGCTGTTTCACGTTAGGTTCACAGAACAAGGGCCTAAATGAGTTGTGGGGGTTTTATTTTTTTTAGAGAGCACAGAGCAGGAGGCCGAGGGGTGGAGGGGTAGAGGGGGAGAATCCCAAGCAGGCTCCACTCTCAGTGCCGAGCCCGATGGGCTCAATGTCACAACCCTGGGATCGTGACCTGAGCCACACTCAAGAGGAGGTTGCTCAACTGACTGAACCACGCGGGTGCCCTGAGAGTAAATGGATTTACAACTCACAGGGGAAGTTCTGTCTCGGTAAACCTGTTATTTAAAAATAGTAATAGTAGGTGAGTGCTATACAAGTCAGGGGAACGGTTACTTTGGGGAAGGAAATGGTTTTAGAAAAAAGACCGTCAGGAGCCTAGAGGAAAAAGCAACAGAAAAGTGGGGGACTTTGGTCAGCTGCCCCCTCACTTCTATCCCTCAAGTTTCAGAAATAAAGGGGTGCAGTCTCTGCCGGGACCTACGGCACATCTGGCTGATGGACACATTGGGGACTGAGTGCTCCCGAAGTCCTTACATGGGGTGGCCCATGGGCTCGGGGCTCAAACGCCTTGCCAGCCTATCGAAGACCAAGACCTCGGCCAGGGTCAACGGGCTGGAATCCCTAAAAGAGCTCAGATGATGGTTAGCACTCAAGTATAAGTTTATTGAGGTATGTACCTTTTCCAGGCATCATGCTGTTTGTTGCACACTCCGCAGCCTACAGTGTGACTTTTATATGCGCTGGGGAGCCAGAAAATTAATTTGACTCGCTTGATTGTGATGTTTGCTGGATGGTGGTGGTCGGGAGCGTAACCACAGGACCGCGGGGGTCTGACTGTACATTCAAGCAGATCATGGAACGGCCCTGCCTTGGGGCAGGTCAAGAAGTCGGCGGTGACGGGGAGGCCTGATGACAGCTGGAGCCAACATGGCGGGTCAGGTGCAGAAGCTCAATGTGCTCCACCCACCTGGAAGCCGGGGCCTGCAAAGCTGCCCTTGGTTCCCTAGAAGGCCTGGGGCACTGAGAAAGCGACTCTGCCTGCTTTCAGGCCGCCATGACGGGAACGGGCCGTGAGGGGGCGCTGGCCCCCGGGCCCTGGCCTACCTTTTGGAGTCCAGACCACAGCTGAAAAGTTAACCAAGCCGGGAACCCCCAGCCCTTTTACAAGTCTCTGTGGTGTTACTAGAAAGAAAGTATTCTTGGGAAGGGTAAGAAAAGGAAGCCTAGTCGGGAGTAGCCCATCCGGGAGCACTGAAACTGCTGAAATCGGCTTCTTTGGATCGCTTTAGAAATGCAAATGTTCCTGACGGTAGAAACGCCCTTGCATAAGAGTGACTTATTTCTGCAGTTTCAGGGGCTTGGGACCAGCAGGAGCTGGCCCCCCAGGCTGATCGGGGCTCAGCCAGCTCTGTTCCTGCAGTATGCAAAGTCGAGGGAAGCTTCGGGTCTTCAGCATCGGCTTAAAAAAATAAAAGCCAAATTAGAATTCTAAACCGTTGCCCACGAGCTCCGTGGGTGCGCATTCTGAAAATATGAATACCGGGACATGACGTTTTTGGAACAGCCTTTCAAAGTTCTCTGAAAACTGGTAGTCAAGGCAGGTTAGGAAGGAAAGTAGAGGGAAATGAGAATTTTATCTTCTACTGTGCATGAAGTTTGTGTTCAAGGCTATTTTAAAGGTTCAAACACTTCACGCTTTTAGCGAATTCGCAGGATCTTGAACCTAGCACGCTTCCTTTTGAGAAAGGGCTTCCTGTAGCTGTAGCACTGGTGAGTGACTGCCCATATGTTGTGTGAAATAAAGGCAGTTTTTGAGAAACTGCTAGCTTAGAATTCAGTGGTCTGCCCAAGCCTCCACCGCTCTTCCATGGTAAGTGTGGAACCGATACGTAGGGATGGCCTCGGACCTGGTGCTCGGATTGGCTCTGGAATCTGGGACAAGGGAGATCACCTCCTGGCGTCTCATGTCCTCGTTAGGGAAGCGAGGGCCCTGAACAGTCGCGGTGGTGGTGGCTTTGGGCAGTAACATTCTCCGTCCTCTAGCTCTGGAGAGCGTGCCCACCCCGCCCCCTCACTTTGCCTTGTCGTTCCGGGGGCCCAGGCGGTGCCGGGAATGCAGCCCACAGGTCCGGTATCCGGCCCCAACTACGTGAGCATTCCTCCCGGGGCCTGCACGCTGCCCGGGTCACTGATGATTCTTTCTCCTTCTCCTCGGTTCAGTTCGTTTTCCTCACCTACGTGCTGGGAGTGGCCTGGCTCGGCGTGTTTGGTTTCTCTGCGGTGCCCGTGTTTATGTTCTACAACATATGGTCAACTTGCGAAGTCATCAGGTCACCCCAGACCAACGGCACGGCCGGCGTGGAGCAGATCTGCGTAGATATCCGGCAATACGGTACTTCCTTCTAACGCCCAAGACCACCCTTTCTCCTCTTGTGCGTAGGCCTGGACCTTAATTGTTATAGGGCCGTCTTTTTAATCATCGTGATCGGTTTCATTTACTCTTCTCCTCGTATAACCTGGGCTCTGTTTTCTGGAGGGAAACCTTAGGCTCTTAGTTGTAGTTCAAATTTTGGTTATGTGGCGACAGCACCTTTTCCAACTGCTTTATAAAGGAGCTGTGTGTTATGATCAGAAAACACTCCTGGATCTCAAAAGGCTACAGACTTGTTTTTCAAGTTGTTTCCCGTTTTGTACCGCTCCCCTTTCCATCCAAAATATTGCATAGACACTGCAGTCCAATTAATTGCTGTGGCCCACTCTTCAGATCCGGGCTTCTAAAGACGACTAACCTTTATCTGCACTGGAAAACAACATAAAATCCAGACGTACTTTAAAGTCACCAGACTGAACTCTGTCAAAGCCGGTGGTTGGAAGCCCCTTGAAGCCTATTTTCTAATGAATGGGATCCTCCCAGCAGGCAGCTAAGGCTGGGTCATTTTGCCAAGCCCCAGAAGGCGCCCTTGCCCCTCCTGTCAATGAAATTGAGAGGCGGCCTCCTAAGTAAGGAGTTTAATTAGTGCTTCTTAGCCGAGATGGTAGGAAATCCTGTTCTTGGCAGAAACCGCGAGATGGGGGGAGAAAGAACTTTTCATTAAAACTGCAGTGAAGATTGCCGGGGAGAGAGGACCATTTCATTTGTGCTACTTGTTTTTCCCATGGGGCCGGGCTTCAACATCTTTCCTTCCAACATAATCAGCAGAAGCTTGCCCAGCACTGCCCACTGCACTACTCTCTTCTCACAAGGACCAAGGTTCCACCACACTGGTCTTGCTGAGGGTTTGAAAACAGAGTGTAAAGAGGATTTGTAAATAGAGGTCTATCATTGCCTTCGTAAATACTTTCCCTAAAACTTTTTGGCCCTCAGTGATCATATTTTTCAGTGTTCTGTATATGAAAGCACTGTGGAGACTTGTCTTTTCCCCTTCCCCTGAAGTATGAAGACTGATTCGTGGCCCATGGCGAGAAGGGAAGAAATAAGCAACTTTTTTAAAAAATCCTTCCTTCCTGGGAGAAGACGAGTAACGTTCCTATTTAAAAGCATGTGCTTACTACGTGACAGCGAACAGAACAGTAACCCAAGGGGCCGTGTCATGGCGGGGAAGGGTCAAGGTTATAGTGAGAGGCACACAGTAATTGGTGTAGACTCCACGGGGTGTCCCTTTCTTAAATTTCCAGTTGGATTTTCAATACCACTGTAAAATGCAATTGTAAAAGACCTACAAAATCCAAATTACATAACAAATAACTGCCTTGAAACTCGGTGTACCGACTCTCCATTTCGGGACTTCAGTAACAAGTCCACAGACCAGGAAATGGTCCTCCAGCTGTTTAACTAGAGTTCATCCGTGGGTACTAGGGCAAACAGCTTTGGAAATCAGGTTTTACAGATACCGGCGCAACTAAACAAAGCATAATTTGGAGGGAAAACCAATTCAGGCCTACTTGACTTTGCTCTGGTCCTCCTGTCCGAGGAGGACTTGCTATTGATTCTAAAAAGCCTGGTCTGCCGAGGGCAGACAGGGCAAGTGTCGATGAAGAACAGAGTGGATGATTACCTTGTAACTGGAACCCAAGGGGTGAGGACCATCGAGAGCCCGGGGCACTGCTGTGTGTGCTGATAATGACGAACGTTGTGTTGGGATTCACTTCACAGGTATCATCCCTTGGAATGCTTTCCCAGGAAAAATCTGTGGCTCTGCCCTGGAGAACATCTGCAACACCAATGAGGTAAACCCTTCTCCGGCAGGGGGGCCTAGAGCAGTCACCTGGCAAAGCAGGCTGAGGAAAGGGCTCTTGGCCGTAGACAGAGCTTTTTGTAGACGGCCTTGTACGTAATCACCAGCACTCGGCCATTTGTGACCTAGAAAACGCTAAGGATCCTCACGTAGTGGGCTGGACCATGGGAAATGGACCGAGAGCTCTCTCTCTGGGTGAGAATTTGAATCCTGCACATCTGGAAATACATGCCACAGCCTTCTTTCACCTTCACTTGGTTTTTCAAAGTAGGACATTTATCACAGAACAAATGCCAATTAATTTCCACCGAAAAGATTCCCTTGAACGTGTATCTAAGCCCAATTTCTATCAATCTAGTCACAGTTCATCTCTCGTTCAGCCTTAACTGGCAGTAAATAAATCCTAACCCGCTTTGGTTTAAAAGCAGACCTCAGAATATTCTTTAGGCATCGGTTTATAACTGTCTATAAAAGAATATTCTTAAATGCACGAGTGGGAGCTTGCATATTTAAGAGACTCCTAGCATCAGCCCCTGCCTCCATCGTTAGCCAGTATGTAAGGTCCATACTGGCTCCGAGCAGGGGTTCTTAAACATGGCTCCACGGGGCAGTCCCAGAGGGCAATTCCACTCCCGGTGGAGGCCCAGCTACTGAGGTTAGACTAGTGGAGGGCACGGCCTGCACAGCAGTTTCTGAAGCTTCCCGCGTGGTGGCGCGGCCGGGCTATGACCCAGACCCGTGCACGCTGGCACGGAGCCTGGCCACCGCCCATCTAGGAGAACGAACGGGCAGAGGCCCCGTCCTTCCACATACAGTGCTCACACAGTGCCCTGTTCTTTTCTAGTTCTACGTGTCCTATCACCTGTTCATTGTGGCCTGCGCCGGAGCCGGTGCCACCGTCATCGCCCTGGTGAGTATCGGGCCCCCGGCTGGCCTAGTCTAGCTCCTGGCTTTCCCTTCTGGCAGACAACTCGGGGACGCAGCACTGCTGGCGGGTAGTGGAATTTGGATTCTGTGGGGACAAGACACCTGGGCTGGCCTAGCACGTGCTTGCACGTGAGGCATTTACTGATTAACCTTTCCTGGCAAAGAAATTTCCAGCCAGAAATGCGTATATATACACATAGATGCATGTACTGAGGTTCTTGTCAAGTCTCCTTATCACTGAGCCCCTGTTCTGCGAGGAGACCGGGGGTTCGCTTTTGGCCAGCTGATGAACACATGACCTTGTTTTAGGAGTTTCTGTTTAAAGACAGTTATTTGGTATATACTGATTATCACTGAGCCGCAGTACAACTCCTCCCTGACCGAAGCTCGGGTGGCACCTCGGGGCCCTCTTGCTGGCTCGAGACTTTCGAGAACACCTCATTCGGCACGACGGTTAGGAAACAGGTGCACAGCAAAATCACAAAAAGCCAAAAAAAACCCGGCACGAACTCGCCCGCAGAAAGGACACTAGTGTACGGTCCGAACCAGGAAAGCACGCAGCGTGGTGCCTCGGTCGACGACAGTCGGGAGACCCCTTCGTCATCCCGGTGCGGCCTGCCCACCGGTGCCTGTGAAAGTGCCCCGAGCAGTGATTTGGGGGGTTACAGAGTCACTTTAGCATGGGAGGAGAGTTGCAGATAGGGACCCTGCAAATCTTGTGGGGGCGCAAGCTTAGTGCGTGTACGTACGCACATCCGGGTGTAATGCCCGAGGGCCTGCTTTGTGATTTCAAGAAATCTAAGATGCGGGGAGCAGGAAGGAAACGTCACATGCTCTTTAGAGCCCCTGAAAACTCAGAAGGGCCTGTTAAAATCACGCTGGCCACCTGTTCTCTTGCAGAGACACAGGCACAAAGAGGACTAAGTGGCGTGGAGGAGGCAGGGTGGGGGGAGACGAGGGGAAACAGGGCCTTTAGCTTCCAGCGGCAGGCTGCGGACCCAGCCAAGTCTTCCTAACAAAGGTACTGAGGGCGGAGGTGAGGACCAGTGGTGCGTACGAGAAGGGCGGGGGGGGGGGGTTGGCACGTAGGAAAAGCTGTGTGGTGACAAATGGGGGACAAAGAAAGCCCCGGGGCCGGAGCGGGCACTGGCCCTGACCACCTGTATCTCACTGTCCTGTTTGTTCTCTCCCACCAGCTGATCTACATGATGGCTACTACATATAACTATGCTGTTTTGAAGTTTAAGAGTCGGGAAGACTGCTGCACTAAATTCTAAATTGCCTAAGTCCAACAAGGAGCTTTAGACAGCTCTGCGCGGTAGCCTGAAAGATCACTGACCCCACCCCCCAGATGAAAGCAGAGTCAGATGCTACCGTTTTGCTACAGTCATTTGTACATAGCTTTAGTCGACTCACTTTGCCTTGTAGATTAATAACATGCCTCACCCTAAGTGAATTACAAAACCATGAGATCTGGCTTATTTCCACGGTGTGAAAAGGATTCAGTGATTTACTGGCATTGGGTGAGCATCCGGTAAAAAAAAAAAAAAAAAGAATTTTCTTGACCTTTGAGGGGTATCTCTAAGTGAAGTATTAATACTCTGTAATACCTGCATTTTCCGTTATTTTTGCTTGCTTGATAACCAACAGGAGTGCTCCACAGGAGCTGGAAGACAGATCCGTTCTGATCTGCGTTTTGTTGTGTTAGACTCTGGAAAAAAAAAAAAGGACCTATTGTAAAGTTGATTACAAAATTTTTTGCTGATTTCCCCGGTTCACTGCCCCATACGTGCCCCTCAAGTAAGTCAGCTAGAGGTTTCAACCGGGGGGGAGGGTTCTTCTTTCCGCACACCACAGCCCTCCCTTGCAGAGGTGCAGGATGGGTAACCTTGCCCCTGTGTTTTGGCGAGCAGTGACCGACTCCTCGTAGCCCGCTCTCAACCCGCACGTAAGATTTTAACGGCAAGAGCAATCGTGCCTGCCGTCGGAAAGCCTCCGCTACGTTGAACAGGAGAGAGGAGGAACTCGAGGTGTAGATTTTGCAGGGAAGACCAGGAAACTAGGTGGGAAAGAAGTGTTTGCTACATGAAGTGTCAAGGATGAGGATTCTTCCATTCTGTGACAGGCAGGAAGGGCCGTGACCCAACGGAAAAGGTAGCTTCCCGGCTCAAAACGTGTTAACACGGACCGCATGCTTGTTTGAGTCTAGTTCCTAATTCTATTGGTTTTGACATTCGCGTAAGTTTTCCGTGTTACGTGTGTAGCTTCGCATCTACTCAAAATACACATCGTTCACTTTTAGGCCTCTGGGGAACTGGTTTTTAGCCACCGACAAGCTAGAACCTTGCACTACACTTATTTCCAACTCCGCACACGCCGTGTTTCTGAACGTCTGCGCGAGTTTTTAAAATGACTCCCCCCCCCCCCCCCCCCCCCCACCACACACACCCCTCCTGCTTCCTGTTTGCTTTTTCTTAACAGCAACTTGGGCCATGTTTTCCAGTTCATCACGTTGGTATACTAACTCTCCTTCCGCCTCTTACTCGTAAGCGTCCTCGTGGAGCTCGCTGCCGGGCTCCGACGGCTCTGCTCGCACAACGAGTATTAATGCAGAATAACCCTCTCCCTTTTTACAGTCGGGAGCGTCTAACCTGCCTCGCAGCTCGCTTTGCCTTCTGCCATGCTCACTAGCCATCATGCGCACCCTTCTCTTCCAGATCCACTTCCTCATGATACTGTCTTCTAACTGGGCTTACTTAAAGGACGCCAGCAAAATGCAGGCTTGCCAGGATATCAAAGCAAAGGAAGAGCAGGAGCTGCAGGATATCCAGTCTCGGTCCAAAGAACAACTCAATTCTTACACATAAACGTTTGCCAGAGCGTTACCGCCGCCGAAGTGACAGTTCTGACAAATCCACAGACAGCTGCTCTGCCGTCCAGATGTGTCCCCCCTTACTCCCCACCAAACTAATGTAGAGGTACAAACACTTCACTGTCTGTCTCGAGCTGCTGGGAGGGATTTCTAGGAACACCTGCCAGGAGGCCAGTCTTTTTCTTTAGCGCAGATACCGGAGGCTTCACGTTAGCCATTTTAAAAGGCAACACTTGGACAAAACGATGGCTCAGCTTTCTGAGATAGGTGGCCTGTTCCCACTTAGCCGTAGAGCAAGCCTCCCGCGAGAGAGAGGCCACGGGCATGTGGCATACTGCTGGAGCGGGACCGCCGATGGGCCGGCACGAAGCAGTGTGACCGTAAATTCACATGTGCCCTCTGTCCGCGGGGCTTACCTGGGTAGGGAATAGAGTACCATTTCTGACAGCTGACATTTATTAAACTTGGGTTCCGAGATCATGTGAGTCTTAATGATTGAACTCTTTGTTTCAATTAGCTGCCGTCCCTACCCTGTTCCTCTCCCGATCCAGTCGGAAATCTATTTTTCAAGAACGCTGATAACTATAATTCGGCTACACCTACCCTTGAGGAAGCTGGATTGTGGCCCATCAATTCTATAATAGCTTTCCTCTAATCCAACGGCCCAGGTGGCGTTGTCGTTCCTGGGGAATAAATGTCAGCTCTGCCTTAATGAGTATCTGTTTTCAATTTCTAAGAACTTAATTTTACAACAGGAGACCCCAAATCCCTCATCGCCCTTGGTTCCACAAATGTTTTTCTGAATTAAGAAGTGTTACCTTATTAAAATGACCACCGTTCTAAACCATTTTTACGTGGTCTCAATAGCAAGTTTACAGTTTCATACCAACTATCTAAAACCGAATTACAAATAGACCACAGACCTCCTACTTTTCTAGACTTGAATACTTCAGTAGTTTAAATTAGGGTTGGTATTTAGTTCCTTTTTTAAATCTAAATCATTCCTGGAATAATAAAAGTTTGATGTTCAGCAAAAAAAAGAAAAAAAAAGAAAAAAAAATCCACCTTGAGTTTAAGCCATTTTCAAAAGAAACTTGCCTTCTAAATCATTCTGTTCCAGAACATTAAGTGATTAGAGGTATTGGGTATTAGTGATGGTAAACTTTGTGTTGCTCTTTATGAAATGATACATATAACCGTTGGGTGCATCCGTGCTTTTAAAAGGGGCTGCATAATATAGGATTAACTCTGTATATTCATGTTAAGAATTAACTTGTGGTTTGGCTGTTTCCTGGATTTTAAAACATACACGTGTGCAGAAATGTCTTAAGATGAAAGGAAGCATACCTTTGTCAAGATGCTATTAAAATTGAACATCAAGGATAAGATTTCATTTGGATTCTTTTTGTTGTTGTTGTTAATGCCTAAAAATGCCTATTTGGATCTTGACTTTTTTTTTCTTTAATTGGGAGAAGCTCTCTTCTGTGTAGAACAGTTGTTCCAGAATAGCTAGTTTTGTTTTCCTGTTGCATGACAGACTTCAATATTTTTTTTTTTTTTCCAGCAGTGGAGGTGCTGTTAGAGTCCAGTGTTCTAGAAGAGGCAGTGTCTAAAGCCTAATTTTACTTTTCTAATTCTGGTAGCTATTACCAAGAATTTTTGAAAGTTTTGTTTAAGTAGTCTAATATTTTTTATGTAAAGAGCATTAAATTTTGCTATGTATAAATTTTTGTAACCTAACAGTGAATCAATATTTTCTATCAGTGCCAAGGGCTTCCTGTAGTTCTATTCAAGTGTTACAATAAATATTTGTAGATAATAGTCAATACTTGTGTATGCTTATTTTAAATATCTATTTAGGTGGAAATAGTTGTGGATGTACTAAGAGTAATGCAATAAAAGTATAGCTTCACTCACTTGCCTTTTTACCATACATAAAATACTATCTTTCTGTGTCTGCAGTACGGTGTCATTTTTAAACAGTACGCATCATCAACATTTCACGTGTGTATGGACATCACGTTTCTACGAAAATGCTACCGACAGCTCTAGAGTTCTGTGAAGTACAGATACTTCAACAAACGAAAGCAATTATAGGTATGGGGTTAACACAAAGCTCAGGTTTGGGGAAAGTAAGAACAAGGACCATCCTTCCTAAGGGTCTGGGCACCCGTGGCTCCTGTACAAACCCAAAGTGTAAAAGTCTACTGAAAGAAGATGTATGCGGGAATGGTAAAAGATCTCGATCCGACAGGCACTCTCTAAGCAGGCAGTCAAATGAAAATCCCAAGTAACAAACTAAGCTCTGCTGCTGTAAACTACTTACCTGTTGGCACGAGTCTGCATTTGGATTTTCTTCACCTGACTTTTCTAAGCATCCGCTCTTGTCCCCTACTGAGACCTTGCCTTTCTAAATGAGGTGCCACCTCGGGATCATCACCCTTCCCTAGGCTCGGCAGGAGAACAATCAGGAGCCCAATGAGGATGCTCTTTGCCACACGCCCTAATACCTCCTGTTTCTGTGGCATTTTGTGCGATTGTTATAGGAGTCCCCTGAACAATTAGCTATGTATAAATCCGGTCTAGATAAGATCGCATGCAATCTTTCAGTCAATGACAGTACTCCTACCACAAAGTACTGGAACCTCTAGAAGGCAGAGGAGCGATTTTTCATTTCTCTAGTTTTACCTTGTGAACGTGACTTTTTAAGAGATGAAAATAAAGCCACGAGTCCATTAAAGAATGATAACTGGGGTGCCTTTAGCGTCCCACTCGATTTTGCCTCAGCTCCTGCTCTCACAGTTCATGAGTCAAGTCAGGTTTGGCAAAGTCCTTTTCCCCAACCGTGTCCTAGCCTTCCTCACTGTTTTGATAGGTGAACTTCACCTACCTGGGGAAGATGTGAACAGAGATGCATTCAGAGGTCCTTGTCCAGTGGGGGGGGGAGCAGGGAAGCCTACAGGGGAGTTCCCACATTGCACGGCATGCATCCAAAGCCATCTGAAAAGATGCGTTTCCTCTTTTGGGGCGTCTGGGTGGCTCGGTCGGTTAAGTGTCCAACATCAGCTCAGGTCATGACCTCACGGTTGGTGGGTTCGAGCCCTGTGTCGGGCTCTGTGCGGACAGCTCAGAGCCTGGAGCCTGCTTCGGATTCTGTCTGTCCCTCTTTCTGCCCTTCCCCTGCTCACGCTCTCTCAGAAAATAAGTGTTAAAAATGACCTTAAAGTGACTTACCTGAGGGTTCAAATTAAGTTCCATCGATGCTTGGAGAGGTCCAAACAACACACAAACTGAAAATTTCAACAAAGAGAACATATTAAAAAGTATCAAATCACACTGAACATGATAACTGAAAAATTCAGTACAGGGGTTCAACAGCAGACTAGATCAAACAGAAGAAAGGATCAACCAACTTGGAAGAGAGGCCAGTATAATTCCTCCTGTCAGAGAGCCAGGAAGCCTGACGGGTTCCAAAAAAATACCAATCTAAAGAAATGCACTCCGAGTCCTATTACAATTGAAGT